ATAGATCAATGTTAGTGATAATGTCACTTTCTATATATAATTTATTCGCTGTTTGAATAACCGTGGATAGGAAACGTTAGGCTATATAGGCTAGGCTACTTATCAATTTCTAACGTTTTTATTAAATTGCAATCACGTTAAATACAAATTCAGTCCCATTAAACATTTTTTTTTAGCCTACATGACACCCATGTCTTGTTATTGTCTAAAAAGACGGGTTTATGATGTTTAATACATTTGACTGCTTTTAGCCTTACCCTCCGCCTATGTGTAGCCCTGTATATCTGTAAACGTTTAAAAACTAAAGTTCAGAAACGGAGCCTCCTTTGTCCGTCGTTCTTCAGACAATACACTATTTTTAAACTTCCAAACAAGGCGTTATTAGACGAACATCAAAGTTTTATATTGACGAACTTTACTCGTGTGGTTTACTTTCTTACACACACCGTGCCATTGGCAGGTAATGTGTGTGTGATGTAACGTCATCGCCTGTATGCCACTCCTCAAGACTCTCCCTGCAGCTTCAGGGCTGTTTGTGTGTAACTGGAGACTCAGAAGCACTGCGGTGTCAACAGGGTCAGGGTGACTTTGTATTTGGCTTTTCCCACTCTCATAGTGCGCGATTTTGGGGGGACGGCGCTTAGGAAAGACTGTGCTCCGTCCAAAAGTCAGTCCAAAATGCAGCGCGTTTGTGGAATATGGGAAAATCACAGGTAAAGCTGTGTGTGTAATTTCGGTCACGGATTGGGTGGCGGATCCAGGTGAGTCTCCGTCAAGTGATACACATCAATATTAGGGGGAGAGCGGGGCACAAAGTAACACTTTTTGACTTTCTCAAATTGTGTAAATCCACATGGGGTTCAGAGTATAATTTTTTTATCCACAGTAATTTCACACTTGTCTAGTACAAATATGTCGCTTTGTTTCATAATTACAGTGTATACGTTTTTCTTTATTTACCCTAAAAAACTGGAAGTTAAATGTGACAACATGCCCCGTAGGTGGGGTACATTGTAACATCTGAGGGGCACGTTGTAACATGACCATATGACAGCTTTCAATGTTATCTGATCGAATGAAAAAAATATACAAGACAAACTAAAATATTTTGTTAATAAAATAAAATATATATATTTTTTTCCAAATAAAATAATGGCATTTATTACTAAAAATTTAAATAATCTGATTTTGGAGTTTGACAATGAACACATTGCAATCATACTTGGGACGGCCCATATAAACGAGCAACAATGCTTTACCTGTCTTGAAATAATAATTTCTAAACATTAAACATTGTCAGTCTTTATTCATCTGTTTCTCGTTGTTTCTCATTAAAATTCATTAAAGTAAATAGTGTAAATTACATCGCTAATGTCATAGAATAGCACATTGTAACGCAGTGTTACAACGTGCCCCATCTGCGCAACTGGAGTTTAAAACTAGTTGCTGTCTTCCGCTAGTTAGCGAAGCATTAAAAAAACTATCTAAACTGATAAATAACAGATTGGAGATTAAAATAATAGCAGATTTGTCTCATTTTAAATGATTAATAAAAACAGAGAGGAAAAATTTACTTAAGCCAGAATTTTAATTTTGCTATGGTAAAATAAATGTTCATTGATATCTTCAAAATATTTTTGAATTTTGGCACACTTTTTTATATATATAATGTTGATATGGTAACTAATAAATACTGTAAATTTGGTTATGCTAGCATGTGTGGAAATATTCAAACCATGTGGGTTACAACTAACCCCGCATTACTTTGTGCCCCGCGCTCCCCTAAATTTCACTTAGAAAACAAAACATTTTCAAATCTTAAGTCAATAATTAAGATTGAAAGTTTCTTTAATACAGCTGCATGTACGTACTATGTTCTTACTATTGTAATTACAATAACTAGGTAATAATAGCTACTAACCCTAAAACTTAAACCTAAACCTAAAAAAAAAAAAAAAACAGACAGACAGAGACATAATAGCAATGCAAACCATTCTGTTTCTGCATTTTACATGTTGTTTCATATTATATTATAAAATATAATAATATAACAAATCCTTTTGCTTATTATAAAAAATATTGCTTAATTACAGACTGTATGTATAAATAATATCTGTCACAATGTATAAATAATATCTGTCACAGTCTCATACACCTATGAAATCACAGTGCTTTACACTATGGCCCATATTTACTAAAAAGGGCAAATTATTGTGAGACTGCAATCCCATAAAAGTGCAGATGAAGTTCTGTGGGAGATCTACTGACAATACACAGATGCAGCCGGGTAATTTCCATAATAGCGCAATCTACTAAAAGCAGCGCAAATTAGCGTAGGGTCGCATACAAGCAGAGCTGATGATAAAGGTGTGGGTAATCTACTAACACAGTCGCATAATGGGTTAAGACATTTTTTGGGGGGAGTTAAATGATGCAAATACAAGTAAACTGACTACCACAAACTTTAGTAAACCACCTTAGTAAATTCCCATACATTTTGCGTCTGAAAGGGAAACTACTACAAACGCATATACAATAGTTCAGCTGCAAAAATAACGATCCACACCTTTTTGTTCTCATAATTCTCATTATTGTAATGACAAAAACGTCATCCATTTTTATTTAAAGATGTTTACATTGTCAATTCCATCACAGAAACACAATAGAAGGTTTGATATGTGATTGAAATTACATTTGTTAAAATATTGTTATTATATACAAACTAGTGAGAATGTAAAAAGTATCATATTAGTATTCTATTAACATACTAAAGGAATTCTAAAGGGTTAACCATGTCCATTACCTGTTGAATGCTATCCATTCCCTTCTGAAGCCTCTGCCAGTCGTTGAATCGATCCAGAGCATCATCTATACTCAGAGAGCCCATCTTCACCTCTTGCTGAAGTTTTATCAGCTCGTCCAGTCCTGGTGGCTGACTGGGCACAAAGGTGTCATAAGTGGTTGAGATGCTGTCCCTCGGCCTCGCTGTCACCATGGAGACCAGAAAGCAGTTAAAATATCAGCTGTATGATTTAACTTTTTTTTTTTGTTATTATTTAAAGATGAGATCAGACTCATAACTTCATAGTGCATATAAAACTATTCAATTTTCAGACAGACAAATCTCACCCTGTCTTGTGAGAAAAGAGTACAATGTTTCAGCATCTCCTTGCGACTTTTTCTTCTGGAAAACTAAAAATCCACATAAATACAGCACATCATGATTAGAGTTCCAGTTATTGCTTCCACACTGCAGCAGTACACCACACCACACACATCTGAGAATTAGTTTGCATTATCCTGGAGAGTCCACTAGGTGGAGGCATGTATTCATGTTTTTTTCTACAGTATTAACTACATATTTAGTTATTTCTTACTCTTAAAAATTAGGCCTCAATAAAATAATCATTAATCTCATGATTTCTGAAAATGTAACAATAATCAAATTTGGCAAATGTGTCAGTTATTACAACAAATAACATTATAAAACTCAGCTTTGACATGTTTTACCTATAAGTAAACATGCAATAGGCATCCTTTTTCAGATAAGACCACCTCCTATGAAAATACAGCTGTAATATCAGATGCATGTTTTAAAATGAACAGTGAATGAACGACTAACAAGCGGTTTGCGTGACACAACGTGAAACCAGACCTCATTTGCCCCAATCGAAAGCATATTTACACTGTTTGAATCCTTCCCTATCGCCTACATTGTGCACTTCGTGCCATTCGCACTGTGAACAACTGACCAATCTCAGCCGCAGCTTCAGCGTCTATTTACAGGTGCATCTCAATAAATTAGAACGTTGTGGAAAAGTTCATTTATTTCAGTAATTCAACTCAAATTGTGAAACTCGTGTATTAAATAAATTCAATGCACACAGACTGAAGTAGTTTAAGTCTTTGGTTCTTTTAATTGTGATGATTTTGGCTCACATTTAACAAAAACCCACCAATTCAACAAATTAGAATACTTCATAAGAAAAATACCAATAAAAAAAACATTTTTAGTGAATTGTTGGCCCTCTGGAAAGTATGTTCATTTACTGTACATGTACTCAATACTTGATAGGGGCTCCTTTTGCTTTAATTACTGCATCAATACGGCGTGGCATGGAGGTGATCAGTTTGTAGCACTGCTGAGGTGGTATGGAAGCCCAGGTTTCTGTGACAGTGGCCTTCAGCTCATCTGCATTTTTTGGTCTCTTGTTTCTCATTTTCCTCTTGACAATACCCCATAGATTCTCTATGGGGTTCAGGTCTGGTGAGTTTGCTGGCCAGTCAAGCACACCAACACCATGGTCATTTAACCAACTTTTGGTGCTTTTGGCAGTGTGGGCAGGTACCAAATCCTGCTGGAAAATGAAATCAGCATCTTCAAAAAGCTGATCAGCAGAAGGAAGCATGAAGTGCTCCAAAACTTCTTGGTAAACGGGTGCAGTGACGCTGGTTTTCAAAAAACACAATGGACCAACACCAGCAGATGACATTGCACCCCAAATCATCACAGACTGTGGAAACTTAACACTGGACTTCAAGCAACTTGGGCTATGAGCTTCTCCACCCTTCCTCCAGACTCTAGGACCTTGGTTTCCAAATGTGATAACACCAGCTGAATGGACATTATTGCACTTATTACATGGCTCCACTCTTAACCCTTTTGCGCTCCTCATTTGAGAGTCACACTCATGGTCTTCGCGGTCAAAAGTGACCGGACACCTGAAATGTAACTTTTTTTTCTTTAGTAAAATCAATCTAATATATTTTTGTTCAATAATATTTTCTCTTTTTTCTTTTGTATTTTGAGAGAATTGTATGATACTAATTAATATTTATGCAATAATTATGATAAATTTTTCCCATTGAAAATAGAACACATTTTTTTTTTCTAATTTTTAAAAATTATTTTTCAATTAATGCAGTATTTCAGATTAAAATAGAGACTAGGCCTTTAAAATCCAATTTTTGAAGGCAGAATAGCACCTCCTGGTCAGAGCAAAAAAAGGAAAAACCTATAATTTAATGGTGTAACCACTAGATTCCTGTATAGGACTCTATAGAGGGGCTTGTGAATTCCCTAGTTGTTTTTATACATAATTGTTTACTTTTATTAGGTTGTGGGTGTAAATGTATATCAAGGCATTCTCAAAGACTACTTTTTGTTAAGGTTTATGTTTTTTGTTGTTTTAAATGTTGATTTGAAGTGTAGGTTTTTGCATTATTATTACTATATTCAAACCTGAACACAGAAAGTATTTTGTTTCACAAAACATTAAAATTCTATAAAAATGAAACAAAAATTAACAGGAATGCTTTATCAGAGCTTAATCCTTCTGGGTCTGATCTGATTTTAACCTCTTATTTCAGTCTTCTGACTCATTTTGGCTATATGGTTATAGCCATACCAGTTCATTTGAGTATGTATAATTCTGTATGTGTGTGTCTGTGAGTGTGTGTAAGTAAGTTTGTGTGAGTGGATGTATCTGTTTTACACTCTTGACTTTTTTGTAACCCCTTCCTTGCTGTCCATTTTTTACTGCATTGTAGTTGAATTATTTATTTTATTTTACATAGTTGCAGTGTTACAGTCACACCAGTTCATAGGTGTGTGTGTGTGTGTGTGTGTGTGCGTGTGTGTGTGTACAAGTGTGTGTCCACGCATGTGTGAGTTGGTGTGCTGATTTTGAACTCTAGATGTTTTCGAGTTTCTCCCCTTCATTGCTGTGCAATTTTTTTTCTGCATTGTGGGGGGTTTGTAGATTGTACACACAAAAACGTTCTGTATTTTCAATTTTTTTCCCATTTCCCATGGTCGGTCATTTTTAACCAAAGACCATGACCACATACCAAGTGCCATAAAAGTCACCAAGTTCCGTACCATTCAGGTGAAGCTACGATTTTTTTTAAATTCTAAATATAAAATTCTCCGGTCAAAAGTGACCGAAGACCGCACAAGGTTCTTAAATGGTTCTTTGGCAGGGTGTATGGTTCCATGAAGGACCTTTAATATCCAAAGAACCTTTTCATTGCACAAAAGGTTTTTTGTAGCACAGAAAGGTTCTTTAGACTATTTAATGGTTCTTCACAGTCGACATGTTGTATATATTTTTTTTCTGGAAAGTGAGATCAAGTGAGCTAAATTGTCCTGCCTGGTCCAGAACTCATTCCAGACTCATTTTCTATTAGTTGCGTTCAATTATAGTGCAATATAAAGTATTAATTTTGAGTTGTATAAACCTGTGCACGCCACTGCCGTGTGAGTTAGTGAGCATTCAGCTTGATGAAATGAAAGATGTATCTTCATGTCTGTGACAGTGTTTACAGGGCTTTTATGATGATGACCCGAAAATAAGTTGACTATTAAAAAGAACAGCTGAACATCAGTTCACTATTAAAGTGCAAATAGGCCGCCTTGTTGGTAGAAGCTATTTACATTAACTCCAACCGTCAATGTAAGGTTACTACAAAAGACGGTTGTTAATTAACAAGTTCAGTGGTGTATAGTAAAGCGTGTGCCGAAGTCATTTTTGATGCGATCGACCTGGGTTCGTTTCCACCCCGAAGATTACCAGTAGAATGAAGCAGCAGGTTTTTAATCAATGGGATTTAACTCATCATTTATCTCATATAGAATACACTTCATTATTTATACAACATAACGTTAATATTATGACTTATAGGCTATCTGCACAAAATGCCCTGAATGCACGAACGTGTACTGTGGCTCTGAATGAACTCCTTTTGTGGATGCGTTCTTCACGCAACAACTTGCAGAAACACAGCAACTAAACTCTAAAAATTCACAGCGTTTTATTATAAAGCCCGGTTCACACTACAAGCGACACGCAACAGCAAAGCGACACAATCCCATTCATTTCAATGGAGAGCTGGCGATTTCCGGCGACACGAGCGACAGCGGCCGTTGGATGGGCCGTGTCCAGCGATGCGACAAAATTCAGAATCCTTCAACTTCATGCAAATGAAGAGCGACTTTCGGGAGCAACAGCCAATAGGAAAGACAAGAAACCTGATTCGCTGTCAAAGAAACCAGTATTGAGCACGCCCACTAGCAACCTCATCGCCAGACAAAAGTCGCTGCTAGTGTGAACGGGGCTTAATAGTGTTCTCATTATAATTGACCTATCGGTAAGCCCCGCCCCCCATAGTTACTGTTGCTCACTCTGACAAACAAATGGAGTTGCTCACTGTCTTACAATTACAGCTGTCAGTGAAAACCTTCTTCCGAGGTGTTTCTGATCAATTTGGGACACAGATGGACCTTCAAGTGGGACTTAAATATGCCATGGAGGGATATATAAAAGATATTAAAATAAATATGTAAAAATACAGATCACAATGCAAACCGATGAGAGTATGACAACCAGAAAATGAACATTTTTGTCTTCATAGTGATTGGGGTTGAATGCTTAGGGACATTTTACTCTGCTTTGGTTGGATTTAGGAAATGGAATACATTGCCTATCCTCTCAGGATAACTGGAATTAGTGTTACAAGTACCCTAGGCACATCGTTTTCCCATTTTTGTTGCATAAACACCATTAAACCGATGCGAGCTTCAGATCTTCCAATGTTTCTCTATGGCGCTGAAACTGCAACTCATCCAAATGCATCTTATAAGAGATAACTAATATATACACGATATATATAAACCGACTGAAATGTTTTGAAATCACATGTACCCTACCTGATTGAAAAATCCAGTCTTTCACTCTCTGTCTGTGTCAATTTGAGTCTTGTTAAAGTTTTAAATCCCTGCCGCCAAGATGCTCCTCACACCATCAAACCGATGCGAGCTTCAGATCTTCCAATGTTTCTCTATGGCGCTGAAACCTAAAGATGTCCGAGTTCCGCTCCACGTGCAACTGATACTCGACTGCAATTGGCTCATCTGCGTTCGAGGGGAGGGGCTTACCCATAGGCCAATTGTTATGTATATGACAGTCCTAATCATAGTTATTAATATTCTGCATTGTTGTTTGTCCTGCTCGTGCTGCGCGCTGAAGAGATAATCACCGTAGTACTACAATGAAGCGCTTTACTGCAGTGCAACTCATCCAAATGCATCTTATAAGAGATAACTAATATATACACGATATATATAAACCGACTGAAATGTTTTGAAATCACATGTACCCTACCTGATTGAAAAATCCAGTCTTTCACTCTCTGTCTGTGTCAATTTGAGTCTTGTGGGGGTTCGGTGCCTTGCTCAAGGCCTATAGGCCTATGAGGCATGACAATACTGGATAATAAGCAGATGCTTCCAGATAAACAAGAAACAGTCTCCCAACCCAGTTAGGGTTGAATAGTCAAATTAATGAGATTCAAAGCCCACGGAGATCAGTGAAAGCAAGCAAATCGAATTTAAGGGAAGGATGCATTCAGTGATGAAACTGATCGTACTTTAAATGATATGCTGCATATGTTATGCAGAGCACGGTGTCAGCATTTCCCACTGTCGTGGGTTAAATTAAGTTAAGTTTCTCTTTTATTATCTCCCTTAGGAGAAATTTGTCTTAGGCAACCGGGAGAGCAGATCAAACATACAAAAAAAATAAAAATAATAATAATAATAATAATTACACCATTCCAAAACATATATTCCTACGCAATCCTAATAAAGGTTATGGTTAAATCTAATCCTCTGTTAGAGAACCTCCTCTTTTGGTCATCATTTAAGACATTACTTATAACATACTCATAAAGAGCGCCATATTGTGCCAGCATTTGATCTGACAAAGACTTCAAAACTAGCTGCAATCATGTGGAATTTTATGCAGCAATCCTGCATTCTTGGGAATCCTCTTTCATTCTGCTGTCGTCCCCTGAGAAAATCAATTATGATGTAATTTTCAGTTATCATGGGTTTTGTTACACTTGTGAAGTCCAAGTTGCTGTAGTTTGAGTCCAAAGACAACACACACTAGCCCCTCCTCTAGAGGTTTTCAGTCTCCTTGAGTAGGCGAAGAAATATGATCAGTGCGTAGGCAAAAGACCCTCTGTAGGAATTAATGGAAAAACCTTGCTTTCTCTCCCTTTGTATTTTCATGTTTTGAAATAAGAGAGATGGAAAACGTGTAATTCGCAATGCTGGCCCTTCTTGGCCCCCTAAGCTGGTCTGATTGGTTGCAGATGCTGTCATAGTAGTCTAACTGGTGTTTGTGTTTGTTTGTTTGTGTGTGTGTGTGATGTGTGTACCTGTTTTTCTATTCTGCTGGGGACTTAAACCTGAATACACACAGACTCATGGGGACTAAATTGAGGTCCCCACGGGTAAACAAGCTAACGTGTACATATGTTTCAGTGACCAGAGAAGTTATAAAACTCCATGTGACAAAGCTCAAACTTAACCATTATTTATTTCTGTAATAATGATCTATTTGTTTTAATTAATTTTTGGACAAGTGAATGACAGACATGTGTGTATCATATGCAGCTGTCATAGAGCAATAGATCCTGACCTCCATCACCGCTCTGTGGGGCGCAGGAGACATTTTCAAAGTGTGTGTGTGTGGGAGGGGGGGGGACCAAACTTTAAACAAAAGCCCACATAGTAAGATCCGATTTCCAGATATCGGACCACCATTTCAGGCTCACCGTCGGACCATCATCACATATTAAACTTGCCTGATCATTAAGAAGTACATATGAATGATCAAAACTTAGGGATGAGCAAAATGCCTGTAGAATGCCAAATATGTCCCCTGTAGACCAGCCTTTTATGTGGGAGAATATTTATTGTTGTCAGCCACTTTAACAGTGTAAATAAACAGTTTGAACATTAACACTGCACTGTGCTTACATACAGGTAAATAATAAAAAAAACTTTAATTAAATAAAGATTAAATTAAAATGTATTGTTTTAACATTAATTTATATTAATGTCTGCGTACCACTAGAGGGAGCCTGAGTACCACACTTTGAGAACCACTGACTTAAACGATTATTTCTTTGATTAAATAATTTAGAATTTAATGCCACCACAAACATGGCTAAATAGCATCTGGGGGAATGATGACAATTGGCATTTCATATAGGCTGGGCATGTATAAAATGTATGTCAACTTACCTTATTTGCCTTTTGAAAAAACTGTTGAAAAAAACCAATACTGTTTCGCTGGCTCTTTCTGGTTGTGCCAGGCAGACTACAAAACTCGTGTTGCAGCTGAGACAGGCACAAGTAAGATCCCCTGCCTGTTTAGGACCACTATCAAAAGCACCATTAGAAAAAGACGTCCAGTGTAACACTGTCACCGCGGGTTGTTTTTCATGTCAGCGGGTTGAAGTGACCACAATAACTTGATATTTATCCCCTGGAATGCAAATTTACCAGGGAAACCCCTCCAAAAAACTTATTTTACTCCCCGGAATGCGATTTTTAATGGAGGACACCCCTCGAAACGTGTTTGTGTTAGTTTTGGGCTAGTTTTGAGTAGCAATTGGGCGGGTTTTGTTGTGAAAACCTGGCAATCCTGAAGACGACGTACCGTTCACTGTCAAATAGGAATAGGTTACATAGCTACACGTAGGTAACTAACACCAAACGTAATCGTAATTATTTTCTCCTTGTCACTAAAAGATGTCTGAAATAAACATTTTAAAACTTAACATTGGTGTATGGCTTGATTTACAATGAATGCAATGTTCATTGTCGGAAATTTCAGTTAGCAAATAGCGGCGCAGGCTATTTTCCCTTATCAAAAGTGCGGGGGTCGATTGCTGTCTTTTCAAAACTGCGGGGGTCAAGACCCCCCTGTCCCCCGTGCCATCGGCGCCCCTGCTGCTCTGATGTAAAGACCAGCTCATTATGACACACAGTATTCACAACAGAGGGACTCACTGACGATGCACTCTTCACAACCTCTCTGAACTCAACAGACACACACACACACACACACACACACACACAGTCCACACTCTCAAATTGCTCACTGTAGTGCTGCCACACAGCATAATGATAGGAGAAATATGGCTCTAAAACAGTAGCGGTTCCTACACCCTAAAGACTTGTGGCCCTTTTAACACACTGTGAACAGAGTAAAGGACGTTTCAACCACTCATGAAATGAGTTTACACTTTTTTTCAATCGCTTTAAGCTCTATTTATTTATTTATTTATTTATTTATTTATCCACTCAAAACAATAAAGTGAAATTACTTTACAACAGTTAGTTTCTTTTTCAGACCAGGTTTAAGCAAATTGCACGTTTGGCACGTGTGGAAACAAGTACAGTTGTCTACAATATGCACAATAACTAAATGCGCATGGCTCATTGATCACAACTGAGTCGATTCTGAGTGAAACTCTTCATAACATATAAACATTATTTCACTGTGTGAGCTATCACATGCAAAATTATCAATTCAATTCTCAAAATCTATCAGACATGTACAGTCCAAAAATATCTATGACATGAAATGTTTGTAATGACTACTAAATTGGCAAATTACCTGCCATTGTAATTAAAATAGGAATCACTGTCTTACCAATCAATCAAAAAAGTTGTTTGATTGTTCTTCACTTCACACAATCAACAAGGTGCGTGGAAAAAAATTGTTATATTGGGACAATACCAGCAACACTTGTGATGTCAAGGGTTCAGAACAAACCAATCGACCAGTCAAGTTTGGAGACATATATGGAGTTTGCCCATTTTTGAACATGGAGAGATGTCACAACCATTAACAACAGCTACATGTATGTGGAAGAGCAATAAGAAGATATGACAATATCTTTGCAAATATCAATGTCAGAATTTCCTCTATAGAAAAAAAAAACAATCAGATGACTATGAAACAACTCTACAAGGTGCCATTAGAGAGGAATAGTAGAGTGAAGGAGCTGTGGTAATAGTATGTTTAGGTCAGGGGTAGGCAAGTTCGGTCCTAGAGAGCCGCAGTCCTGCAGAGTTCAGCTCCAACCCTAATCAAACAAACCTGAACAAGCTAATCAATGACTTCAGGATTACTAAGGCTCCAGGCAGGTGAGGTTTGTTGTTGTTTTTTTCTTTAGT